ATTTTGACAGTAATGCTGCAGAGATTAACCAATGCTCCCTCAGACCTTCACATGTTTTATTCATGATATGAACACTGCAATTTCAGAACTTCCATTCGGTTCAGTATGGAGAAGATTTACTGCTTAGCTCTTCATTTAAGAAGGACTCAATGTTTCAGTGCCTCAGTATTTCTTTTACAGCTGGCTTATCAGGGTTTACGACTCGCCAAGATAAGCCTTCTCAGAAGAAAAGGTGTCACATTAGCAAAGGAAGTCTTTCTGTCTTCAGAGAAAATATCCTCCGACTGACTTTATCTTCAGTCAGCCATAGAAGGCAAGCAGAGGATTCCTTTGGGCTTGCATGCAGTGTATTGAGGGGCCCTGTCCCCGAGTTTTCACTGAGCAGTCCACAAACGGAAGGGAACACAGAAAGTTTTTCTTCAGGAAACAAATCATGGGATGGTCCTTGCTAAACTACATGGCATATTGAAGTCTCCCTATGGACTTTGCATAGGACTTCCTGGGGTCACCCAGGGCTAAATCCTTTATTTTGCCTCTAAATGAAACAAACATGCCCGAGGAGGCATTCGTAAACACAGGAAAGAATAAAACAACCAGCTTCAACATTCGAGATCTCAGAGATCAGATCCAAATCTTCCACAGTGCCAGGAAGGCACAATTATCTCTTCAGTTGGCTAAATATTGGCTTTGGGAATCTTGGTTGGGGATCTTGTCAAACTCTTGGCCCTATCTCCCTGAGGTTGTAGTGATAACATTTGTTGAGCACTATAGTCTCCTAAGAGTCTGAAGTGCTTGTCAGTAGCCATTGGCTCAGCAAATGATTCCTTGGAGCACTGACAAACGAAATTTGCAGGGAGTGGCGTGTTTGGAGAGGTCTGTTAAAATTCCCCCTTTGCGATCTGCAAGGGCAGGAGGCACGTGGTGGAGATGAGGGAAGTGGTTATAACCTGGTCACCTCAAAACCTCAGACCCACCCTAAGGGGGAATTTCATAATCTAGTAACAGTGGAGGCCACCGTTTGGAAAACCCTTAGGCCAACCAATCATAGCCAATGTACAGAAACAAAGCCATCTTAATTCCCTTGAAATGCAAGCTCTGAGCACATACATTTAAGCTTTTTCTCACTTGCTAGTATGAGGAAGTTGAAACAGCCAGTGTTGGACAATGAGCTTGCACATCCTCACTGCTTCAAAGGGGTCCACACTTTTAGGGTCAGTCTTGAAAGACATCGATGAATTTCTTCCTTTAAGCTTTTATAAACTGCAAGGTAACTCTTTAACAGCCAAAGTGGCTTCTCCCAGTCACAGTTCTTTGGTGTGTGCAAAGCACTCTTCTTTTTTTCAACACCTGATTTTATCTGGACAGATTCCACAGTGCCTCTCTCACTGCACGGTGGATCTCAGAGTAACTCCGTTTCACCTGGCTGCTCTCTTCATCTCTTCAAAGAGGAGGGAGTGGAAGTGCTTCTGACCTAGATCCTAAGGCTCCTGTGTTGTTACTTTGGCAGCATTCAGTACTTCAGTAAACAGGACCCTCCGTCCTCTCACACACCACAGGGCACTAAGGCATTTGTGGCTGCATTTCCTTTCCAGGGAAGGGAAGGGACAACTCTAAATAGAGAGGCCAGAAAATCTGTACCGGGAAAATCTTCCATCATCTGGCTATAAAAGATACCACATCCTTTTAAAGAGTGTACTGGAGGCAAGGCCAAGCCATACAAAATATATCTAAATAAGGAAGTGTAACCAAGTGAAAAGAGTCTCCGAATGCTTAGCAAAGCAAGAAATATTTTTTCCCACAATTTATTTTGCTCAAAGGGCACAAAGGACCTTAGGTTTGGCAAGTCACCGTTGCCTGTTGATAAGGAGACAGATTCCACAGAAACAAAACTTTTTCTTTAACTGGGGTCAGCTCATTTGCAGGAGAGTGAATTTGACATGAATTCTGTAAGACTAATTGAGAAAGGTTAGTGGAGGTGGATTCTAAGAAGGCCTTGCAATTAAAAACTCCCCAGGTGTAGGGAAGTGACTGGACTGGTGTGAATTGGGTTTTTTTGATCAGGAAACTTGGGCTTAGCTAGCCCACCCCAGACCCCAAGGTCACATTGTGTAAGGGGCAGGCCTCAAGGTCTCATAAGACTTTGCTGAGAGCAGTTACATCATTATATATATATATTTTTTCTGACTGCAAATGTAATTGTGCTTTCAGGAAAAAACAACAAACAAACAAACAAACAAACAAACAAAAAAACCAAACTTTTGTGTGCCTTCCTTGGCCTAACAGATTATGGAAATAATGGTCATTAAGTAATTGAAAATTTTCTGGGGTTCTTAGGCTAGGAGAAGAAACCTGTGTTGTGGAAAGAGGTTTTACTCAGTTTTGACGGCTTGTCAGACCACTTTGCAGGAGACACTGGAGCTAAGACAGGATCGGTGGGAGCACCCCTGAAAGGGACTGCTTAATTAGGCCTACCTCCCACCTTCTATTTAACCCTCAACCTGAAGATGGACATGGGGTCCACTGGCCCTCTTTGTTCCTCTTCCCATGTGACCCCACTGACTAAATACCCTTTCTCTGGTTTTCAATATACTTTGTTTAAATGACCTATCTATTGAGGGCAGGAGACTGGGCCTGCCTTGGCGGGCCACCGGGGCCCAAGCTCTAAATGTAACAATTCTGGTAACAGGAGGAGTCTGTGGGTTTGCAGCCCACAGATAAATGGCTGTGTGAGTTAGTTACTGTGTGTGTGCTACTTATTTTATGTGCAGTCCCTCCCTTTTGAATACAGCACCTGGCACTCAGGAGACACCTAATATTGCTGAATGAGTCGTTTCATGTTCTTACAAAAGTTTTCTCCACAAAGCTGTCTGTGCTGGAACTAGCTCTGTACACCAGCCAGACCTTGAACTCACAGAGATCCTCTGCCTCTGCCTCACAAGCGCCAGGCCAGAAGCCATATTCCTTACTGTAGGGCTTTATTTTCATGGAACATGAATATTTTGTATGCATATACCAATTAAAATTAATGGTAGCTCGCAGGAGTAAGCATAGTTTTCTTATTCAGTAGTTTACTCTATAAGTTTCTTTCTGCAAAAAAGTGTCTGTCCTTTTGGGGAAATGCTTTTTTTTTGAAATCTGATTTGAATTTATGATTATCAAACCCAGCTTTTAAAGAGTAGGGGGTCACGGCACTACCGAGATGTCTCATCAGTTAAGAGCGCTGGCTGCTCTTCCAGAGGAAGAGGACTAGGGTTTGATTCTCAGCACCTACATGGTGGCTCACAACTATCTGTAGCTCAATTCTAAGACATCCCTGGCTCTCTTTGGTCTCTATGGGCACCAGGCACACACACACACACACACATACACACACACACACACACACACACACACACACACACACGGTACAGAGTCATACACGCAGGCAACCCCCCCTCCCCACAAACAATTTGTTTGCTGTGGTTGCCACGCCATTGCATGGCATGTGGGAGGCTGAGGTACAGCGATTTGCATGAGCCCAGGGCCTAGAGGCAACACAGCTAGATTATGTCTAAAATATACATGAACAAAGAACTCCAGAAATTTTTTTTTCTGTAATTTTTATTTTGTCAGAATATACCACAAAGTCTTATGGAAACAAAATAGGAGGACAGAAAAAATTAGGGGAGACATGGGAAAGAAAAGAAGCCATTCATCTGGAGTGTGATGAAGCTTCTCAGCCCGGAGGAAAAGATGTCCATAGCAATGAACATTTGCTGTGAAGGCTGCTTACAGAAGGAGAGTATTGTTTTTATATATTCCTCAAATAAAAATGCAAAAGTAGCAATGTGTGAGTCCCTTTTCATGCCTCCGAATGTATGACCTTTCTATTTTTCCAAGAATCTCCCATGAAACCCTATTTACAGGAGAAGGAATGTCTTAACTACCCAGTACTGATCTTATCAGATCGAAATTCCATCTAAGATGCCACTGGAGCCACCCTACAATTTCACCTCTCAGAAAAAGAGGGGTAAAAGGAAAAACAATAAATAAAAGGCTTCTTAGTTCCCTGAGCTGTAACTTGAGAGCCACCAGAACGGTATGTATGGGTTACCATTGACACACAGCTCTGAAACCCACAGCCATGGTCTTGTACGTGCCGTACTCTTTGTATTAACCCCCATATTTAAATCTACCTCAAGGAAAAAAAAAAATCCCTTTTTAATAAACTCCAGCTGTGCTTCAACTGCCTCACTCTGAAATTTCTTCCTGCAGTTTCACCCTGAGTGGATGTCCCTAAAGGACAAAGGGCGGCTAGGTAAGGCCTTCATCAATGATCACTAGCTTCATAACATAGGATCCTTTCCCGCTGCACAGAAAAACAATCGTTTTTAATTATCTTGACTTATTTGGTAGGAGAGTAAGAAATTCCAACCTCGGGGCCCCTCGCGGATAAGAGATAACATTGTATCCCACAATGTTTGACAAGGATGAACAGCCTTCTGCCGTTTACACAGTAACCCCTTTACTTAGTTTTTGTTTCTTGAGCTCTTTGGCGCCAGGAAAACTGTTGCAGCAAGCAAACAAAAGGAGACACACTAGGGGGCCTTGGGACTCCGAAACCTTAATCCAGAGGGAACCAGCCAAACCTTTCAGAGATTGGGGGAGGGTGCGCAGGACTTGATTGGAAACTCTAAGAAATAGTAAGTACCGGGCTCAGAGCCACTAGATAGCACCTTCGGTTCTGTAAAAACAAACCCTTGCACATCCGAAGATGTCCAGGAGCAGAAATCTCCTGTCTTTTTTTTTACCTGTCACATCAACGTAAATAAGCGAACCCATCCAATGAATGCAAATAACTCTCAGTAGGGACTTGCTACACATCCCGGAGGTGACGGGTTAGACATCACCTGGCTGGCTCGATTAGCTAGCTCGCTCTCCAGCGTGGGCAAGTGGAAAGGGTGGGGGCGGGAGAGGATGCGGCGCCGGGGTTGCACGGCACATCCGGGCGCGCCTGCAGCGGGTAGCCGGCTGCATAATTGATGGAGGGCCGGCGCAACGCTGGGCTGTCCTCGGTGTGCTGGGTGCGCCTTGGGGGAGGAGGGCCTGAGCGGCCGGGCCCCTCCCACTCCGCTTTTTCTCGCGTGTCCTGTCCCCGGGACTGGCAGTGGGCTCCCGGTTACCAGCAAGTGTACACAGGGGCAAACGGAGACCGATCGCAGCACGCCGAGGGCGCAGCAGCGACCTCCGGGACTGAGCCGCCCGCGCCATGCCCTCGCTCACTGGTCTGGGGGCGCTTGTGACGCCTGGCTTCCCGCTCCTCCTCCTGTGCCTTCTGGCGGCGACGCGCCCGGATCGGGCAGAGAGCAATCCCGCAGGTGCCTGGGGTACAGGGGCGGGTCCGGGGAGGGCTCTGGGCACGCGGGATGGGGGCGCATCGACCGCGACCCTCCAGCCCGAGGGCATCCCTCGCTATCCTAGCAAGGGCCGCGTGGATGCGAGCGAGCACAGGCTGCTACGGAGCGGAGTGGAGATGGCTTCTCATTGGCTGGGCGCGGGTACCCAAGGAAGAAACGTGGGAGCCGGGGTGCCTCCGCGTCTGCCTAATCTAGGGGTGATTCCGGTCCCAGTTATAGCCCAGTTTGATCCCGGAAACTGGTAGTGAGAGAGGATCGGGTTTTTTGTTTTTTGTTTTTGTTTTGAAAGACCCCCGAGGGGTATCTTCCATCAGGGAGACCCCCCTCCCAAGGATCAGCGAGACCAGTTGTTCGGCTGCAAACAGCAAGAGGCTTTATTTAGTACACGGGTACCTGGGGTCTCTCGGAGGACTTGCGCGCCCTCTGGGTGGAAAGCTGGGTTTTTATAGGGTTTTAGAGCAAAAGCGCGGGTACAGAAGCGAGAAGCATGGTTACAGGGAGCTGATTGGTACGTTTAAATGAGACCACAATTTGAGTCAGAGTTTGGCAGGGACACCAGGATTCCAGGAACTGGGTGGTCGAAACGGTCATGATGACCCCTTAACTTGGGCCGCCACATGTTGTTTTCCTTAGGACTCCTATCTCAGCTGGAACAGTTCCACAGACATCCCATGAGGGTGATCAACACAAGTTGTTTTTAGCTCAACTGGGGCAGCCTGACCGCTGATATCCCAAGTGGGCGACACAGCTGGGTTTCTCAGTAATTTTCCAGTTCCCCACCTAGCCTACAGAATTTCTCAAAACAGTGGTGTACCACAAAATGGCGTTAGCTATGTTTAACTTAGGGTAAGGCGGGGGTTCTTTCAGTTTTTCCTACGAATTTGGCTAATATAGAGTGTGCAGGGTCGTGCGGAGGTTACTGGGGACTTAGACTGTGGCTTGGTTATGGATCCACTTTCTCTGACGCCAACTCCCTCCGCTAGCGGCCTCAGCGAGGTTCTCGTATCACCTTTCCTCCTGGCAGGTGTTGTTGGCTTTGAGGATGTGTTTTAGAGCAGAAGGTAAAAATCCCGCCAGCCAGCCAACTCAAGCAAGACCCAGATAAGCAAAGTATTCGTGTGTCTTGTCCTTAAGCCATGGTCTTTATGAAAACAAAACCTTTTTTTCGAGGGTGTTGGGTTGCGTGTTTAAGGCATGTTGACAAAAAGATTTACACGAAAAAACATTCCCCAAAGTCAAGATTGGATTTGCCGTCTTAGCTCACCTGTTTATACTTTCTGTGTTGCAAGCGATTCCGTGTGACCCTGCTTTTCATTTTCAGCGCAAGTTCCCGTGCTCCCGTTTAAGTCACCACTAACTTCTCAAGCAGTGGGAAGACTGACCCACGGGGAACGAAATCCAGACATTCTTCTAGCCAGAGTTTTCAGCTGATATAGATGATTTCCATGAGCTTTTATCATGTAGATTGGTTGAACATTACACAAGCAGGAACACAATCAAAGGGATGCACACACATTGTGAACTTGGATTCTTCTAGTCTCTGGGTTTTCTTGCTCCACGTCTCTTTTCCCAACATAAGACTGAGAAATAATTGTCCAGGACATGACTTGCTCTCCTGAACCCTTCCTCACTCTGCCTCTTTTTTTCCCTCTCCCTTTTCCCCTCCCCCTCCCTTCTCCTCCTCTTTTCTTTTCCCCCCTCCCTTTCTCTCTTCCCACTTCTCTCCCCTATTTTCTTCCTTGGGTTCTGCCTCTGTAACTCTGGGTTTCCTGCGTGGAAAGTACCCACACCATGGAACTACAAAACCAGCCTAAACAACTGTTTTGAGGATCGTTGTATTTGGGTTAGTCCTAGAAGTTTAGTTCTCTATTAGGCAGTACATTTTATAAGAGTTTTGTTGTTGTTACTAATTTTATTTTATTTTTGAGACAGGGTTTCTTTCTCTGTGTAGCCTTGGCTGGCCTACAACTACAGCGATCTGCCTGCCTTTTCCTCCCAGAGTGCTGGGGTTCAGGTGTGCGCTACCCCAGTAGGAGAGCTTTAAAAAGACTGACATCCAGGTCTTTCAAATGGGAGGTCAAACAAAACAACAACAAAATAAAAACTGATTCAGTTAGCATAGAAGTCAGCCTGGGCCTTAGCAGTTTTGGAAATTCTGTGTGAATCAGTGCAGGTTAAAGTCATGTGAAAGGACTTGGAGCATGTATTGTTCCATACTGTGCTGGCACTAACGCACACACCTGGCCTCTAAAGGGAAGAAGCTAGGGAGCAGGTGAAGGTGTACATAAATGTGCCTAATGGCAGAGGGGAACGTGGGGCTTCCCCACAAACTCAACTCAGGTGGAAGTTCTGAAACTATAGGGCATTCGAAGGGCATGGCGTCCGAATTCACAGCACCTGCTTGGCAGCTCACAACCACCCATAACTGCAGTCCCAGGAGTTAATAAACTGGTCAGGTTGCTGCCACCCTTTCTAGATTCCATATTAATTTAAACGAGATTCCTCATTCTTCACTAAAGAACACTGCAAGGTTTGCTGGATGTTCTTTATGTTTATTCTTTGAACTACTGAGAGAAAGGTGTTAAAACTCGGTCAAAGTTACTGTACTTATGTTCTGCAAAAGCTCTGTGCCAGCCACTGTACTATGCAGTGTACAGGCTGATGAAGTAGCTTCTATTTTCCCTGACTTTGAAAAGAGGAAGTTGGGGCTTCACCGAAGCAATTGCTCCGGTACATGTAGTTGAGCAGACAGTTTGAAGTTAGTCAGTTTAACTTTCAGCTCGTTTCTTTCTTCTTTTTTTTTATGACATTTATTTTATACATATTGGTACTCATCTGCAGGTACACTTGCACGCCAGAAGATGGCATCAGATCCTATCATAGGTGGTTGTGAGCTACCATGTGGTTGCTGGGAACTAACCTCTGGAAGAGCAGACATTCCTCTGAACCTCTGAGCCATCTCTCTCGCCTTCACAGCCTGCTTTCTTAAACACATGTCTCTGTGAGACTTCTTTGTACACCCTCCAACATTTGGAACCACTGTACTAAGAGTACCTGTGTGAGGCTGTGCTCATGCTAGGAGCTGAAACGTGCTGTTTTGAGTTCTGTAATAATGATGGGCCGAGGCACAGAGAGTCAGTCATTGGCTTCTTCACAGTTTTCTCCTAATATTTTTATTTTATTTTTTGTATGTGTGTACATGATTGTCTTTCTTCTACATTGTGGGGATTGAACTCTGGTCTTCAGGCTTGGTATCAGGTGACTTAACCCACTGAATCATCTCAGAAGCCCTGTTTTTTTTTTTTTTGTTGTTGTTGTTTGTTTGTTTTTAATCAAATAAGAGATATAAAAATATCTTTGTAAAAGAAACATGTTTCTGAAAGACTCTACCCAGCAGGATATCAAAGCAGATGCTGAGACTCATAGCCAAACTTCAGGCAGAATGCAGGGAATCTTGTGAAAGAAGGGGGAATTAGTAAGACCTGAGGAGACAGGAGCTCCACAAAGAGAGCAACAGAACCAAAATATCTGGGCACAGAGGTCTTTCCTGAGACTGATACTTCAATCAAGGACCTGCAAGGAGATAACCTAGAATCCCTGCAGAGGTAGCCCAGGGCAGCCCAGTGTCCAAGTGGGTTCCCTAGTTATGGAAACAGGGACTGTCTCTGACATGAACTCAGTGGCTGGTTTTTTGATCACCTCCCCAGGATGGGGGAGCAGCCTTGCCAGGCCACAGAGGAAGATAATGCAGCCAGTCCTGATGAGAGCTGATAGACTAGGGTCAGAGGGAAGGGGAGGAGGACCTCCCCTATCAGTGGACTGGGGAAGGAGCATGGGAGGAGAAGAGGGAAGGAGGGTTGGTTGGGAGGGGAAGAAGGGGGCTACAGCTAAGATACAAAGTGAATAAATTGTAATAAAAAATTAAAAAATACTGCAAAAAAAGAACATTATGTAAGCAGGAATATCTTAACATTATTATTAGTATTATCACACCTGAGGGAATGAGTGATTTTTTTTTTTTAAACCTTTTCAGTGGAGTAACTTGGAACAGGCATTTTAACTTCTAAGGATATGGCTTGTGTGCTTCCTTCATTAGTTCCCGCCTCTGTTAGACTCTATGTTGCTTAGTAATAAATAGTTACCAGAAGGAATTTTACTTACATGCCAACATTTGCCTGACACTTTAGAAAACACTAGTAGTTCTCTTTGAAGGTTTTTAACCTGTTTAAACGAATGGATTTATTATAAGCCTGTCTTTAATTGGGATATTTCTGATGTTTCAAATATTTAGTCATAATTAAAATTATGCAAACATTTTTTGAGAATATCTTCAACTGACTTTCATCCTTAGCTCCTTTTTCTTCCTACTTTCCTGAGTGGTCCTGTAGTAATTAGAAGAACAGAAGCAGGAGGGACCCTTGCCTGGTGGGTGGAGCTAGAGGCACAGGTAGCCTAGTGAGGATGGCTCCCGACAAGAGGACAAATCAGGGTGGAAGTTAGGCTCTGCACAGTGAAGAAGATGCTCCTTCCAAGGTAAGCTTACCCCTGGTCTCAGAGCAAGAGCAGGATGACAAGGGCTTCTACACAGGGTCATGCGCAGAGGTAATATCTAACCCACATTCCAGGGCAGACCAGCAAGCATAGATGGTCACGCCTGAGTGGTTGAGGACAACTGTATGGGGACAGATGTGGTAGCTGTAGTGGGATGTTATTATATACACGGGAACTGATCTTAGGACAGCCACTGTAGTATGCAGTGTGTAGCTGATGAATCAGATTTATTTTCTCTGACTTTCTGAAGTTGGGGTCTTCAGTTAAGCAATAAGGAAATCTACCAAAGACAGCACGATGTAGGTTTTCCAACAGGAAAGAAGAAAATAAAGACAAGCAGGGAAGGAAAAACTTTGATGTTTTCAGTGTGAATTCATGACTATAAGCTTCTGTCGCTTTATCTGTGTCAA